ATTCTTAACTAAAACAATGGGTGTAACTAATCGTATAATTGAATTCCGAAATGCGTTCAGGTTAGAGAAACCAAATTATTTTTGTGTTTTTTCGACTCAAGTAAAATCAATTATAAAATTTATTCAATATCGCCATAATATTTATGGATTTTACGCAGTTCAACTAAACGAATCTTTAAAATTATTTGTTTTGTTTTTGATTATCTACTTAATTGGATTTCATATATTCACTTGAAATGACACGAAATAAATCTTCCACAACGCCTCCCACTGGCGACAATCCCTGCGAAAATACCTCGCAAAGGTTGTGGTTTTCGCGACGGTGGGAAAACACCACGTCAAAAACACAAATGATCCACAAACGATTCAGCCGAAAAGGTCCGTACATCAGATTTTCAAGGCACTGGAAAGGATATCGAAGCCGACGCTGTTTCTGACGAAAACAAAGTTAAACCAAAAATTAAATCAGATATCATCTTGGCAGAAGATTGAACAGCATCAATTCAAAGGGCAGCAAGCCTAAAGAAAAAGTGTTCTGACAAAAGAATTTCATGCATTGATCCATTTTGAATGGATACAATATTGTAAAATTTAACTAGACCTATCTCTTTCCCCGTTTTAACTCCACAAAATCACAGCTTATGCTAGTCATCTGGAACATGCGACGCTGGAACATGCTAGCCGTCCACTTATAGATAGGACAATGTCCACATTTGAAAATAATATTCCAGCAAATGGCATCGATTGTAAATGTTGCGTCATTTAATAGCAATTCAATAAAAAGTAATGAGCTACATAATAGAATTACGCGAAATTGAAAACATACCATTGGATGATGCTTATGAATACATCATAGGGTCGAACTGACAGAACATGACTATTGGCGTCAAGTAATCCGATGGTGGTTGTAAACATCAAATTGTGTTAGTTGTGTTGTACATAGCGCTGATAGTCATATTTTTCGTTGCTTCTGTCAGTTTGTGCCTATCATAACTCAAACATGTTCGAACAAAGTCGCAAAAGTAGGGAATACATAAGAATAATTTCAATAGCTCTTTTCTACTCAGTAGTATTATTTGAATCGTTCCAACATGACGTTTTTTTCTATAAACTTCACGTTGCAGTATTATTTGGAGACAAATAGGATCAATTTTTTGCCGTTAACTTTATGTTGACTCACACTTATCCAGAGGAGAATTCAGTTTACAGCTTAAGCAGCCATTAAACAACGCTTTTGATCACAACATTTGCTTATTGGAAAAATAAACACGATCAATTTAAAAACGACCTTGTTACTAATTACTTTGACATATTTTGCAATTTTTTCAATTTTGCAACACATACGCCATGACCCGAAGGTTAATAACCCTGTCAATGACACAGCACAGATACGGATGAGGTCAGTTTTGTATACTGTCTGAATATAAGCAAATAGGTTTGTTGAGCTCCGTAAATGAGGCACAAAAGCTTTTTTATAGATGGCCGCAAAGCTCGCGAAATGAACCAAATTCATGTAAATTAAACAGAAGTACTTTTCAATTTACGTTTCACTTTTAAAATGAGGAAAAAGATAAAATGAACCAAATATTTACCTAACATAAATTATGTCTGCTACCGAGATTGTGCAATCAAAAACCTTGAGACATAATCAATTTGTTTTGCTAAACCAGATTTTTTTGCCAATATATTGTTTACACAGTGTGTTTTGTGGCGTCAATTTGTTGACATAAAAGTGAAAGAAACAGTAGATAATATAGTACATTGTTCGGATAGACGCGAAAAACAGATTTTATTTGCGAATTTGAAAAGAGAAAAAAATTGCGAACACATGATGAAAACATTTATGTCAATAAATCTTATGTAAACACAAAATTCATGTCTCCCAATCGTCTTTAAGTCGTATAAATTCTGAGAGAAACGACTGAAATATTACAGTTTTTCTTTGATGTGATAGTTTTCAACACGATTCCATTGATTCAGGCTCGTCCAACCATATTTTCATAACAAAACTAAAGCGAAAGATTTAAAATGAAGTCGGCTAAAATATTGGTGCTTTCGGCAATTTTTATTTTTACAATTTATTCAGGTATGATTCAAACTAACGTTGCACCTTAGTAAATTGTATTTTCTTCGAAGGCATTGCCGTAACTGTTTCAATTGCCCAAAAATTTTGTGTTTTTTTTAGCTGATGCGTTTAATGCCCGAATTCTTGGTGGCTTCGAAACAGCCATCGAGGGAATGCCGTGGCAAGTGTCTCTAATATGGTATTCCTATTTTCGTTGTGGTGGTTCAATTATTGGTCAAAACTGGGTCATTTCTGCGGCTCACTGCACGAGGTAACCATCAAAATGGACATTTAGATGAAGTGAAACAAGTTTCATTCGCCGTTACTCATTTCAGTGGATCTTCGTCCGATTTATTTGGTGTTCGTGTTGGTTCATCAATGCAAACTGGCGGAAAATTGGTCAAAATAAAGCGTATTATTAATCATGAACAATACAAATTCCCGGATTATGATTTCTCGCTCTTGGAATTGGTTGAACCATTGATATTCACTGCATCAGTGCAACCGATTGCATTGCCAAGCGGTGATCTTCGAATTAAAGACGGAACTCTTTTGCTGATTTCCGGATGGGGTATCTATATTTCTCATCGATTTCCTCAATTTATTGAATTAAAAATGAAATTAATACAAATTCAATTTAGGTAGAACGCACATCGGGGGCACACCTACAGAAAAAATTCGTGCCAGTTATGTACCAATGGTCAGCCAAAATGAATGCATTCAATTGTACGGTCCATTTATAACAGATAGAATGATTTGTGCCGGTTACAAAGATGGCGGCGTTGGAGTTTGTCAGGGAGATTCTGGTGGACCATTGTCGTTGAGAATTAACGATGTTCCTGTATTAATAGGATTGTCATCATTTGTTTTTGAATGTGGCAGCCCCAAAGTTAGCTCAATCTTTTCACGCGTAACATCTGTTCGTCCATGGATTAAATATAATACTGGAATTTAAGTTCCATTCATTGAATAAGTTGTTGTTACCAGACAATATATTGAACTAACTGGTCAGTTGAGCTGACAGTACGTTAGCCAGCTAAATGGACCAAAACAATAGAAGTTATTGTTATAATGAACAATCACTTCTATTAAAACAAGAAAAGTGATTCATCATTAAAACAATAACGTCTATTGTTTTAGCCCATTTAGCTGGCTAACGTACTGTCAGCTCAACTGACCCGTTAATTCAATATATTGTCTGGTTGTTACTATTTTAGTGATGTTCGTTGTTTAAACAGAAAATAAAGTGGCATACTTTTTGAATATTGTGACTTTATTCGATGCACATGTAAAGTTTTCTTTTATTTCATAAATGTTATTCTGTGTTTTTAACTTCTTCTAGTCATTAGATATAAACATAATTAAATGTAGTCAATTTTAACAGATACGAAAAAACTTGGTAAGGCCCTATTTCCTAGGCACATGTTTGTAATTGTGCATGATTATTTCAAATCTGCCACCGATTTTTCATGATCGTGTTCGGTTTTCAAATAATCGTGGATTATTGCGAACAATTTTCGAAAAAATGACACTTGTTACACTAATTCAACATAGCGTGCATATTACACACACACCTGATCACCGTGAAAACGTGTGAATCATATTTTCTGACCAAAGTACATAATATTACCAAGTTTGATGAAATTTCAATCAAATATAAGGGTACCTCCCATACAACATTTTCAATTTTTTCATTTGTGAGCTAAAAACAAAAAAATTATATGGGAGGTACCCTTATTTTTGATCGAAATGTCATAAAACTTCCTGATATTATGTCAGAAAATGGTCAGAAAATGCCGAAAAATCGTTTATGAATTGAAAACGCGAAAAAAATGATTTTTAATTGGTTTTTAGTGCAAGAAATAATGTGAATTGAAATGGAAACATTGTTGACCAGTGACAAATCAATCGACGTGTGGCATTTGTTGCCTTTGAATGTGATGCGTGCACAAATGTACCGCTGTATGCACAAAACATGCAAAAACATGTTTGAAGACAATAGGAGTTAAGCATCGTAGCAAACGGTGTACCTTGCATAAAATGTTCAATGTAAATGGCACAACACAAAATTGAATTTGCCAAAAATGAAACAAAAAGTGTAAATACACAATGTGTTTGAAAAAAATAATATTTTTTTGTTTAGTTTCTTGTGTAATTTTGTTCTAATTCGGTTCAGAATGTTCGAATTTGTTGCCCTTAAATGTGATCCGTGCACAATAGGGTGGAGCTATTTATCAAATTTGGTGTCATATCTCGATGGCCACTTGGAAAAACATGTCTTATGTGTGATGTTATGTATTTTGGTCAGAAAATAAGATTCACGCGTTTTCACGAGGCTACCGCAATTTTTTGTGATTTTCCAGTAAAATGGTCCTCTTTTATTTTCAAGTCACTGTCTTATATCAAATAGAAAGTTGAAAATTCTTTCATATCTTGAATCTGGACACCATAAGACATGTTTTTCCAAGTGGCCGCAATATTATGTCGAAAACGTTCCACCCTATTGTTTACGTACACTATAGTTGCAGATAAATCATTCAAACTATTGGATGAGTTCATTGAGTACGCACAATCTTTAAATGTGGACTTTAATGCTGTTGTATCTGATGGTGAAAAATTCATCGATTTGATGATGATGATTCATCAATTTGAAGTAAAAATGTTCCATTGGGATTTAGAAAAATATCAATACGTTCCGAACCAAATTTTTTTGCAGCTGGTAAATATCATCGCTGATCTCATTGCATTAGTGAGAAATAACATCGCACCGGTATATGAACAGAAAGAGGTCAATGATATCCAAATACACCAAACTTCATTTGGAAGATTAACACAGTAATTAAATATGTATCTGAGAGTGAGGAAAATCGTTAGAACATATTATTTATCAGCCAACGATAATTTACAAGGTGATCAATATGAAGCAGATGAAACTGATATTACCAAGACTTTCATGGACGGCGTAACTCAAAGAAAAACGATCGACTATTCTGGTATCTGGGCATTCTTTTATACTCTAGCCTTGATTAATGGTAATACAAATAAGCAAAATTGTGATTACAATTTGATGAAATCGAACCAGTTGTAGGAATTTTATAAATAAAAGTTAAATTTCATTTGATTTATGTATAAGCCGTCGGAGTCAAATGACACCGCTGAAAACAAATCAGTAGACCAGAAACTCATCTGCAATAAAATGGCTAAACAAGCAACTGCTAAAAATCAGTGCTCGTCAAGAATCAGTGCATCTCGTTAGTATTTGTGTATTCCATTCCAATATTGAACTCTGTCAAAATGAACTGTTCAAAGTGTTAACATGAACTCACACAAAATGGTGACACTTTGAAATGCATGAATTTCGCTATATGCGGCAGTAAGTATACTGTGCGTCATTTTTTAACTTTAAAAATGTGACAGAAACGAGACCAGCCGGTTTTACATAATTTAGGTATTCTGATTTCAATGGCATCACTCGTTTTTCTCTAACACGTCAGAATTTTCCACAATTTTCCTAGAGAGTTTTCCCGAAAACCAAAATTGGCTGTTTAATTATTGGTAAAGCCACACAATTCGTTAAAAAAAAAATTGGATCATTTGAAAAAAAAAATGGTTTGGTTATTCCCCTCTCTGTCCACATGCTGACATTTTTGGTCATTTTTGACCATTTTGGATACTTTTTGTGTGGTAAGTGTATTCAAACCCAATTTTATAGCAAAAACAGCGTCATATTCGGTCTTTTCATGCTAAAAAAACTCCCAAATACTCATTTTCAGAGCGTTTGAATGGATACCAATTTTACTTTAAAATGTGGACTTAGAAGGGAATAACCAAATCATTGTTTTTTTTTTCAAATGACCAAATTTTTTTTTAATGAATTGTGTGGTCCAACTAAACTTGAACCGTACTACAACGCCTGATAGGCCACGTGGGGAAAATGTAACGATATTTCTATAGATGAGTGTGATTATATGTACTTAGTACAAAGTACGAAATGTACATGTGAATGGAAACAATTTGTGCAAATTTGTCATGTTATTTTTTAGCACATAAAAATATAAAATGCACGAAAATAACCAATTTTGATATACATATTTCCTCATTGAGGGTACAACTCTGGGATATTGCATGAATTCAAAATGTTACTAGAGTATAAATAGCCAATTTTGGTTTTCGGGAAAACTCTCTGGGAAAATTGTGGAAAATCCTGACGTATTAGAGAAAAAAACGGGTGATGCTATTGCAATCAGCATACCCAAATTATGTAAAACCGGCTGGTCTCGTTTCTATCACATTCCGATGTCCCGTATGATTGACATTATAATGAGATTTAATTTTCCATATAAGTTAGTCATAGTGATTTTACATCGTTCCTGTTTTTCTTTTCAACTCTTTCGTTTCAAGGTAAAAATGGTTGAATTGAAAGTAGGGTGTTACAAATGCCGATGTTTTTTGCTCATTGGTTTGAATCATTTTATGCTTTCGTTAACGAACACAATTTTGACTCGAATAAGCTGGAATGTGATTGTCATTTGAATCGAATCGAAATTATTTTTTTTCGGGATCATAGATTTAACGTAATTTTTGATTGGATGGATTCACTTTTTTTGAGGCAAAAAGAAAAAGCAACATATTTCTTAAAATTTCTTGAAAATAACAGTAATCGTAATGGAAATTAATTAAATTTATGGAATGTAATTCCAATTTATTTGATTAATTTAATTAATCTATACTGATTAAAGTTTGTTCACTTATTAAATGAAATGTTTTTAGTGTGATTTTTTAACTCTTCGCACTCATAGCGCTATCAATGCTTTATGTTTATTCTAAGTGAACGCGTACAACGTAAACGCGCACTTATACATATAAATCATTGATAGCGCTGTGAGTGCGAAGAGATGGACTATCTAAGTATATAGATAGCTCTTTTTTGCACGTCATGTGGCCTTACATTCACAGCGCTACGGGTGACGCGTTCACTGTACAAAAAACCATATGAAAAAAAATAGTTTTTTCAAAACCAAATTTAACCAATTGAAAAAAATTTGTTTTCAAATTTTATTAGCCTATAACCTGGAGGCTTATCATGGCTACATTCAAAAAAAAAAAATGAAGAAGTAGGATTGTGTGTTTTGGTCAAAAGTTCGTACCACACACAACCACACTTCTTCTTATATATATAGATATGGATTTAATAATCACATTTTTATCAGTCGTCAGATATACATATAGTGTGTATGTTGGATACAGTCATGTACATTCACAAAATGGACGCATTGGTTGCGCATACATTTGTAAGCCTTCGGTGGCTTGAGCAGTAGAATTTAGCAAGCGATCGAAAGGAATTTTTTATTTTCAGTGATCATCCGCACAATGTCGCGGCACCTTGAAATACATAAATAAAAACAAAGGTTTGAGTGAACGTCTATAGACGATGTTTGTATTTGTAATAGAAATTGGTTCATTCTTATTTTTCGATGGCAATTTGCAGATTGCCATATATCATAATAAGTCTAGAGAAATAAAACATTTTGTTAATTAAATCTATTTGTGTCTGCCAGCGAAATTGTGTCATTGAAAGTCGGCCCTTGAATAATAATCAAATTGTTTTGCTAAACCAGATTTTTTGCCAAAACATTGTTTACACTTAGTTATCTGGCACCGGTTTGTTGACATACAAGTACCAGATAATGTAGTATATTGTTTGCATAAAACTGTAATTGTAGTATGTCTTTGATATTTATTAATGCGAAATTATATTTTGTTTGTGATGTTTAGATTTACAAATTTGTTAATACAAAGCGAAACATTTTTATCAATCCAAACATAAAGTTCACACCGCATAACCTTCTTTGAATGATATAAATTCAGTCTTCAACGGCCAGAATATCACAGTTTTCTCCAATGAAGTGATAGCTTGCAACACAATTTGTAGAAGAAAGTAATTTGTTTATTGCAAAATTAAAAAGAAAGTTTTAAAATGAAGTCGCTTAAAATATTGTTGCTTTCGACTATTTTCCTGTTTACAATTTATTCGGGTACGATTCAAACTTTCGGTACACTTAAGAAAATTATCTGCAAATATCTTCACATTTTACGTAGCTTTAAGGTCAAAACACTCTTCTCACTCTTAAAATTCTCATATTTGGTTCTAGCCGATGGATTCAATGCTCGTATTTTCGGTGGCTTGAAAGCTACCATCGAACGAATGCCATGGCAAGTGGCTTTAATTAGACACTCATACTTTCGTTGTGGTGGTTCTATTATTGGTCAGAGCTGGGTCATATCTGCAGCACATTGTACCAAGTAAGTACTAAGTGAGAATGTAAAACACTTGACACAAATTTCAATTGCGGTAACTCATTTCAGTGGCACTCCAGCTGATGCATTTGGTGTTCGTGTTGGTACATCATTGCGATATAGTGGAAAACTTATCGGAGTAAAGCGTATTATTAATCATGAAAAATTCAACATGATTTTCCCCGATTTTGATTTTACGCTTTTAGAGCTGGCCGAACCATTGACATTCAGTGAGTCAATCCAGCCGATTGCATTGGCAGATGCGGATTTGAAAATTGAAGACGGAACTATGTGTTTGATTTCCGGATGGGGTATCCAATTTCTTTTAATCAAATCGTTGAATGACAAACAAATGATATAAATATCAATTTATTTCAGGAAAATCTGAAAATTCAACGGAATCCAGGGAACCACTTCGTTCCGTCTATGTGCCCACTGTTAGCCAAAGTGATTGCGTTCGACGATACGGTCCATTAATAACGAATAGAATGATTTGTGCTGGCAACAAAGAGGGCGGCGTTGGAGTTTGTAATGGTGATTCTGGTGGACCACTATCAACTGAAATAAATGATGTTCCTGTATTAATTGGATGTGCATCATTCGTTGTTGAGTGTGGTAGCCCCAAAGTTAGCTCAATCTTTTCACGAATTGCAGCCGTTCGTCCGTGGATTAAGTCTAATACTGGAATCTAAATTTGAAACATATAGCAAGCCATATAGAGGCATCTGTGTACTTTATTTATTTCAATAAAAGTAGCTATTCATATTTATGGGCCGCCAGTCAGTTTCCATCAAAACAAAAAAAAATATTTGTTTCTACTTTCTCTCATGATACATTTATTTTTCCATTAGAAGAAGAGAGAGATTTAATTCCACTCCATCTAGACATCGAAATTAACGATGAATAACTCAAGCAATTTTAGCTTGGATCTAAACCGATCTTGAAGCTTGGATACTACACCGCGTATCAGCAATACGCCCATAACGTAACCCAACTTAGAAATATCTTTCGTATACGATTACCTAAATTTTTAGAATCAAAAGCAGTAAATAAATGGCTGATGCCATGATCCGCATAACCAACAAATAAGAAAGTGTATGCTGCCGAGCTTCAATTGCGTCAATAAGTCTGATCGGAATCGGAAATACTGATTACTTCTAACGAATCCCGCCAACAAATGAAGTTAATTTTGGTGCAAAAACTTAAGTCAAACTAGCATTACAAAATATCTGATAAACTTACTTTCGTGTTTTCCATATAGCATTTTCGGAAGACAGCCAGCCAGCCATACTGTCATATATATAAACAGTTTTTGAATATTCAGTGACTAAAAGCCGATTTGGTGTAAGTATATATTTATAAGAAGCCATCTATAAATAATTTTCAACATTCATATTTTAGAGATGAAATCGAGCGAAAGAAAAAGCTACCATTTGGTCAAAGTAGCAGTGTATCACATTTCATCATGATTTGTAGCTGTCACTGAGCATAACCACAAAAGTGGCGTGTTTTCATAGCAAATTTAATGTTTGAATACATTACACTTTTATGGTGATATTCAGTGACAGCTACAAGTCAACCTCCGGGAGTTCCGCATTATCATCATTTAACTTCCGTATTCAAACCGTATGAAAGTCCGAATAATTTGAATAAAGAGTTTTATTTACTAAATGACCCAGATAAATAATAATTTTGATACCTTTAAGTGATAATCGTCCCATTTGAACAAACAATTGCGGGCGAGTAGTTGCAATAACATGTTTTTTTGTAAATCGTTTCTATCTGTTTTGAAATAGATATTTCATATTCAGTAAGTTTATTTTCATAAATTTATATTTTGCACCTTTTTTGCGCATATATCATCAGTGTGGTTTAAAAAAGATTATATTTGCTCACATTGTGCAGAAAACACCTATCGTGCAAAGCATCAAACACATATTGTCAACGCGGGACAAGAATTGTTGAAAGCACAAAAGATAACTCATGATGTGGACACAGATGCGGGTATATGGATTTTCTGTCCATTTAAAATGTACGAACTGTCATATGATATGTGCGGTCACATAAATACATACAAAAATGTCAATTATAATTATGATAATCTTTGGCAGCTATAAAAAACAATGTCTAATGCAGATCAGGGCCGAAATTCTAGAACAATCCACAAAAATCGTTCGGAATCATTTGTTTATATAAACAACTCAGCTCATAACGTTCTCTTCCTACACATCCTTCGTTATAGGACTATATATATATATCTTATCATATGCATGCTGACTATATTCTTCGCACACATGTATTTCATACAGAGACTTAGTTAAGCTATGCACTCTTTGGTACACACATGCGCTAGTGTCATACGCATGTCTGTTGCCAACGCGTTTTATTGATATATATTGACGAGCGGGTGCTCATTAGTTATATAAGTAAGGACTTGTTCTAATTTAAGCTAGTCTTAATCTCCATCTTGAATCAGCAACAATAAATGAAATAGCTAAAATACACCAAGCAAGTTTCATTTATTCCTCGAACACTCGTACAGTTCGACCAATTTTCGGAGCACGAGGTAAAGGCGACAAGCCGCATGCTTAAGCCGCAACGAGGTACAGTCTGCGCACCTGTTGTCTATTCATTCTTAACTTTTACTCCCTCACAGTTTACACAGAAAAAATCTCGTGCGTTGTCGCTATTCACTTGGCTCGTTTACAAGCGACTTACGCATATTACACCAAACACATGACCCGTTTCGATCTCTTCAGTGGTACCATACGGGATTTTTTGGATATTTCTTGAAATGTATACTCTCTCAATGTGTGTATACTTTACTCAATACTCGTGCATTCAATGCAAATATTTTATAAATAATTAACCGTCAAGTTAATTGCGTTCAATTTAATATCATAAATCATTCTATTAATCAAAATCAAACCATTCACAACACTATCAAAGGTAAATAGCAAATTCCTAATTTAAATAAAGAAATCTAAAATTCATGATAGATTCATCATAGATGTTCTTGTGCTTTGATTGCGGAGCCTTATTCACCGATTTCAACGATGGAATTGCTCACTCCCAAACTGCTGGACACGATCGTTGCTTCTGCACGATTTGTTTGGAATGAGTGGTTTCAGGGGCTGCAAATACAGCGCATTCTGTAAACCGTGGGTGTCCCAATCACCTAAATTAGATCAAAAATATTTGAATCAAATCAGATAAATTTTCAATCACACAAATTACACAGCTTTCGATGGGGTGCATCCCAAACGTAATGTCAAAGTGCATTAGTCACATAATGTGTTTTATGCCGCATTGTTTATGTTTTGTTTATATTCGTTCTATCAAATTTTAAAGTTATTGAATCTTATCTAAACCAAACATCCTAGCAACTATTTTAGCTCAAATGAATTCACACGCAATTAAAAAGTGTAGTGGTATAAATTCCAAAATCTATAATATCATTTTTAATCAATTCAAATAAGCAAACGCCGTGTCGCCTCCTTATTTTGAAATGTTTCAAAAGTCTGGTAGATCGCTGTTCTGCCCCTTTATTTGATCGATTCACATTAAAATTCATAAGTTAAAATCAAATCGGTCACTTTCAAAAGGCTGACTCCATTTACTTATAAAGCCTGTTCCCTTCAGTTTTTCGGACAAAGTCGTCAATGACATACAATCTGCTAAAATTTTTGTAAAATTCCTTCGAACTACAAGCGCACAAATCGTATTAAGATATTGTCATTCTTCGAAAGATTTATTAGTAAAATAATTTCAAAGCACCAAAGAAGATTAAGAAACAGGGCTAAGGATCATTTTGGGACAAATGCACCGAACAACCACACCGGACTTTTCAAATGAGTCATTCTTCTTTTTTCTCTTTTCATTAATTTTCACCAAAATCAGCTCTATCAGAACCTTGCCAACAATCGGTTAAAATGGAACCACAGTTTTTTGGTTAATAAAGATTTGGTTAGGTAAAGATGCTGCATATTTTCAATCGATAAAAATTGTTAAAAACATGCCATAATATCGATATTTTTTAACGATACTATTTATTTTCGATAAAAACCAGACATTTGAAACAGACTTATGTTACTTTGCTAGCTCGCTATTTTTTAAAGTTCGCGGTTATTCCTTTTTTAAGTAATTGGGATATGGGTTTTAATTAAATTCCGTCGAAAATGTTGAACAGTTGTACTTACAAACTAATGCCTAGCTTCTATTCGATCGATCTCAAAATTACTTTTGTGCACTTAAATACCTTCGTTGGAGCTCATTTGTTCCCCGATGAGAGATGTATGAGAATGCTTACACGGTAGACGACCTCGTGCATAATAATTGTTCAGTTCGAACAAATGCGCACCAAATAGCTAACAGGTCATTCTTATGCGACGATCCAAAGAAGAAGAAAGTCTCTTCTCTTTTTTTCTGCGTTGACGTTGGTCACAAATCGCGTGGTGAGATTGTCGAGTGGAATATTTGACAATTATCGCTATCTAAACTGTACTTAATTCTAATTGACAATTTATGTTTACAATTCGCACGGTGTCATTTCGCAAGCATAAGTGACTATTGTATCAGTTTTTATTTAACTGGAATAAAATCCCATAACACATTATATTGAGATATTTTCAGATATCGTCAAGCGCTGAAATTGAGTGAAAAGAATAGAACTGATTGTTATGGTTATAATTAAACTTACTTCGCTACAATCACTATAAAAATCACTTTTATATCTGAAAATATCTCAATATAATGTCTGATAAAAACTTCTGAACTAACTTTCAAGTTCACTGATTTGATTTCACAGTCACAACAATGTAGGCTGGCATCTAAACAATCTGAAATTCTCCACAATTTTTGAATTTTTAATGAAATTAATTTATATAAATATCACACGAGGTAATTCGCGAGGTATGCTACATACGCATACATACAAATGCATGCGCATGGATCTGAATAGCCCACAGCACAGAGTGAGAGAGAAGAGTTAGTTGTTAAGTGATGCTCAAGGGAGACACAATAAAATATTATTTACACAACAACTTTCATCATTTACATTGATCAAAAGATTACGGGCGAGAAATATTGGATGTGTAGCTAGGGTGGAACATTTTTGGCACAATTTGGTGGCCACTTGGGAAAACATGTCTTATAGTCCCCAGATTCAAGATATGAAGGAATTTTCAACTTGCGGTTCCATATAAGACAGCGACTTGAAAGGAAAAGAGGTACATTTTACTGGAAAATCATGAAAAATTGCAGTGACCCAATCACCATGAAAACTTGTGAATCTTATTTTCTGACCAAAATAAGTAATATCACCAAGTTTCATAATGTAGTTCCGCTTTCAATTTTTTGTTTTTGAGAAAAAAATAAATTTTTAAATGGGAGGCACCTTTATTTTTGGTTGAAATTACAGTAAAACAGTAAAATGTACCTCCTTTCCTGTCAAGTCGCTGTCTTATATGCAGTGACCGTTTCGCGCATATTTCTATGCCTGATAGCTATGCTAAGCAAGCCGCAACGCACCCGTCGCCATTCGATTCGAGCTATATTGTATGCGCACGGTCGTCTGCATAAACGAACATGTGTATTGTTCATATAGAGTGAACGGCGATGCGTCGGTTGCGTTTGCGGCTATGCTTGGCATATCTATGCTACCTAGCGTATTTAGGCAAGCATAGAAATATGCGCGAACCGGTCACTGCTTATATGGAACCGCAAGTTGAAAATTCCTTCATATCTTGAATCTGGAGACTATAAGACATGTTTTCTCAAGTGGCCATCAAGATATGCCTCGAAATTCAAAAAAATGTTCCACCCTAATGTGTACGCTACGTAACCACATGTACAAAGCAGAAACAAAACCAACAAATTTGATTTATTCATTAATTTTTTTTTATTTAAATTACAATAGTTTTGATGTCAATGCAAATCCAAGTATTCAATAATTCATTCTTTTTATGACTTACTATAGAATAATTCACTTGACTATTTAAAAAATTGTATTTTTGCTCCATTTATCCTGATTGTGCACCGACTATGCTTCTGAGAAGGCTGGGGTCAATTTCTTTTAGGGTAACTAGAGGAATCGATTCTTGTGGAGGTGAACATTCTAAATCACAAAATAAAAATTAAAACAATAATTAATCAAGCGTATTAAATTACACTGAAATTAAGCTGTCAGCCGCATAATCCGCTATTCTGAAAAATTAAGTCGTCAACATTCAATTCCATAAAAAAAATGTGGAATCTCTTCCAGTTTAAAAAAAGGATTTCCTTATTTCTGACGCTGTTATCAATGCCTTTTCAATTGGACTTGAAAGTGACAAAAGTAATTACTACAGTATACCAGAGAAAGTGATGCACGTGCATAAAACATATGCATTTGCACATTCCGATTTCAGAATTATTAAATTTATCAAATTATTATATAAATTGTTCCTTATTCATTCCAGAAATCGTATTTTTTCATGAATAAATTTTAAACCAATAAATGTTTTTTTATGATAAAAAGCATATGTAATTTTTATTTGAAATTTCATCAGGTCCAAATTACATTGAATGCATTTCGGTTCATTACACATTGGTTGCGATTTCTGCAATCAATGAGAAATAATTTAAATACAAACATTCGGATTACTCGATTGAAAACATGGTTTTGTGTAAGTTAAACTGATTTATCCGAACATTCAATGAGAAACAAGCAGCAAAAATCCAACTTACTAATGCCAATAGCGATTATTAACAAACATCGTTAAAATTAAAAATTGTTATGAAACCATGGTCAGAAAGATTGCGTTTGTAATGAGTAAAACGACTGGTAAGTAACATCACTGGCGTAATATTATCTCCAAACCAAACATGGACAGTGGACACCACGGCGCCATACATATAGTTGGCGCTGCATTCTATGCAAACTTGTTTTCCGTTGCCACGGACTAAGTGGAAAGTATACGCTTATTACATAGAATGTAGCGCCAACTATACGTGAATTCTATTTTCTTATCATTTTAGGCAGTAATCTCATCGCTTCTTTACGGAACAACCACCACCAGCGTGTTATACAAGCGAAAAAAATTATGTAACGCAAAAATGGCAGGTTGTCTCATACACTGCATATATTGAAATGTACATGTGTATGCATGAACTTGCATTTTTACATAAATGAAATGCACGTGGATTGTGTGTGATCAAATCAGTTATCGTATTCAAGTGTATTTGTTATTCTCTATGTCATATATATTCATTCTTGAATTTTTATGATTTGTTTGAATAGAATGACGAAATCCATGTAACAAATGGAGACGGAAAAAATATTTTCTCCATTTCCTCCAATAACCTACATGCAAATGATGTGGTCCATGAAATTGATTCTGATTCAGGAGTGACATACGAAATAAATGAAAATGATACGGAATCAACTGTAAGCAAAGAATATTTTTTTTTTAATTTAAAATGAAACAAGTATATCGAATTATTTCTATATTATTTGAATTTTTGTTTCGATAGGATGGTGAAAACGACGAATTGTTCTCCGTGATTTCAATTGAAGAAGGTGACAATTATGACAGTGAAATAAATGAAAATGATTTGTATTCAAATGTATGAATGAACTTTTTCAAAATGGCCGACCTAGGTGTAATACATACTACTAGCGTAGATGTGATTGCAAACATTTACAAAAGTAATCGTTATAGCGACTCCGAGAATTTGCGGAACGCCTTCACATTCTTTCACATTGAATCGCTATTCATACCGAATTCAACATTTTGTCTTAGACTTTATGGAAAAAGAATAACTATGGAGTAAAATTGTTAGAAATCAAAAATTCCACTCAATCAACTCAGTCGCACCTTTCTCACGCCATGTTGAAAATATTCAAATAGCCGGAAATTTAGTTGGAAACTTATATGACAGTTTCAATGAAATTCAACAAAAGGCGCTAGTAAATATCATTTCATCAAACAATATGATGGCATTCATTTTATTTATCCAGAATTATCGGAATTATATAAATACAGACTCGTAATTTCCACCATGATTTGATCATGGCTGAAAATTTGATCCGCGCACGTAATCATCGATGAATGTGCCAATGCACAAGCCACAATGGCATATGTTCTATGAGGTAAATGCTAAAATAATTTTATTCCGGCGATACAAAACAGCTCGGACCGGTAGTTATGTCGCCTGAAGCCAAGAATTTGGCCCACGATTTGGGCGAATACAATGGGCAGTAATCAGTCAAATTATTATAGACAAAAGTCTAATTCTAAATGCAGACCAAGGTATCATTTTCATGAAATTAATATAATAATTAAATTTTAATTCTTTTGTTTTCTTCTTTTTTTCATGCGAAATTAATAATAAAAACTGGACCTAGACGACAGGTTATAACGAATAAATAATCTTCAAGCAAAAACTTACTCAAATTTTGTTGAACATATCTATAAATAGTTCCTCCTAAAACTGAAAGTTCATTATCGGTGAAAGTAGCTTGATACACGTAGCATTCATGACGGTCTGGTACAGAGACGGTTTGAACATGTGGATCACTTAAATAAGATGTTGTGCCTCTAAACTCTCTTCCATTATTCTTTGATGAAATTCTGGAATTTTATTAACTTGTAAAATATGAACTTTCATCTAAAGAAGGCCTAGCATTCGGAATGACATACATCAAAGCGACTCATCAAATGATGCTTGCATTAACATCGCACTTCGTGCGCTGCCAGATCCGAATGCACGAAGACAGCTTGCATCATTCGATGAATCGCATTGACGTATTTCTTATTCCGAATGCTTGAAGGATATACAAACACTTACGCGTAATAAAATTGTCTTGTTTGTGTGTCAGCCAATTCAAAGCTAATGTTATCCAAATCCCAACTAAAATTGAACACAAATTATTTAAAACATATTTTTTCAACATTTCAAATAATTTGATTGCTTGATACTAAGGTAAGTGAAACAGGCGGTGTTCGAAACAATTTGTTCACTGCTTTCATTTAATACCCGACTTATTGACGTTTCAATAAAATCTTAAAATATGAGATAAGTTTTGCCAACTGCAATCAAATCAGTAAAAAAGCAATGTTGCCAATCAACTGTCAATAAGTCGGGTATTAAATTAAAGCAGTGTACAAAATCGAAAATTCAAGGATTAATTAAAATTAAGTTTCATTTTTCGGAGATACCGTTTTTGTCTCTTTGATCGCTGTATAATAAGTTTTACATCGTGCTTTATTATCCAAATGATATTATTCAAAGTGTTTATGCAAGGATTCAATGAATTTTTTTCTTTTCTTTTTCCGTTTTCTTAATTAATTGAATCACTTAGAATAAATCAACATTACTAGATAAATGTCTTCAAATGCGTTACTGAAAAAAGTCAGTCAGCAAAAGCGTTATAAAATATATGGACGATGTCACGCTTTTGCTGACTGACTTTTTTCAGTAACGCATTTGAAGACATTTATCTAGTAATGCTGATTTATTCTAGGCGGTTCAATTCATTTAAATACAAAAATTACAAATATATAAAATATTGTATTATATTTGATAAATTTAAATAGCCGAAAGGCTCAACCAAGAAATAAGGCCAAAAATAACATTCATTGATATATGAAATGCAAGCTGGGTGTGAAAAAGTTCCATGCCTGCATCTACTTTAGATCCATTGTAAAATGTTTATTCATTATCAAACATAATAATAAGAAACTACGTCGCACTGTGGGTAACGGTATTCCACTGCGCATTTTAATGGAATTTTTGTGGAAAAAAGTAATATTGGTTCATTCACTGAAAGCCCAGATGAAGTTATCGTCACATTTCTCATTCCATATCACTTCTTCAAAATCGATAAGAACAAAGGCAAAATATAAGCATAGTAATTGCGATTTAATGTTCAGAACCAATCGAATATTCTGCGTGTGTGTGTCTCTATCTCTTTACATAGACTGTGTGCTGCGTGTACCAAATAAAAATCATTTTAAATTGGGAAATTTTTTCGAATTTTGGCCACAATTTCTTCAATTTGTTGAAAAAAATGTATGGGGAAATTGTATCCATTCAGTTTTGGATATAAATCCTCCACCAGTTTCGTAATATTTTCCGCGGCAAATAGTGTCCAAATCGAACTGAAAATAGGTTCTTTGGATTTTTGGCCATAATTTCCCAAAAATAAAATATTTTTTTGGGGAAAATATGACCAAATATTAAAAGGAATTATTTTCTTCGATATTTCGAACATAAATTCTCCATTAGATTTGTATGGGAGAAATTGTAACCGGGGAAAATATGACCGGTCATCGTGCTTGCGCAGGAAGATTTTCGAGTTTTATGTGCAAAGATGGTGACGCCCTACGGAAATAATATAAACTTTATGGGAAATGTATCTGTTTGAATACATAACAAAGGGTAAACTGATGCTATATATTGTTATGTATTCAAACAGACATTCCCTCCATTTAGTATATGTATATTATATCCGTAATGTTCAATTGTGTATGGAAATATCGTAAATACTAGTGCTATACGTTCGCGAATATTGTATGTGTTGCTCAATACAACATCAACAAATCATCCGACGACATTTTTTTCATTACACCGCATTACATGGATCTTGAAGCGTTCAGCACACTGTTTCAAATTCATACAAAATTATTTAACTCACTAGCCCGTGTTGAAAGTAATTAAACAAATATATTAAATATTTGAAATAAAAAAATCTGAAATTCATACTAACTCTGCTTCATATTTTCCTCCAGTCAATTGACCGTTACTGTGAATTTCATAAGAAACAAAATCGTCTTTTAATTGCGCCACCACATCACCGCTGCGAACCAGTTTTACTGTAAATTTAAATGTGCCAAACACATGTCAAAAAAAAACACAGTATAAATCATTTTAAGCCAAAATGTATATTCACCCGATCGAACGATTTTATCAAAATCATCTTCATTATTCAGTTCGTTTTCTGTGAATTTAACCCAATAATATGGAGCATCACGACCTTGCATCATATAGAGGCTTGGTTCGGATCGACTAACAGCAACAGCTTTGCCACTTATTTGTTGACCATTATCCGTCACATATCTACAGAACAGCATTGATTTAATTACGTTTCGTTCAATAAAATTAAACTTCACTTGATCACACAAAAAAAAAATTGATAATAAACTCACTCAAATTTAAAATCGGGTATTCCATGTTGTGTTCTTATGAAATGAAAAAATTTCTTTTTTTCTGTAAAATTATTACCAAAAGCTACAGCAAATATGACCAACAAACAAATACACTTTAACTTGAACATGATGCGACCTTTTCGATTTGAAATCACGGAACGAAATGAAATCTTAAAGTGAAACGTTTCGTTGAGAAAAAATCGAATTTAAGTCGTTTTACAACCGGCTTTAAAGTTAATAATTCAACGAACTGGTTTTTGTCAACAATTCCATATCATGTGATTGAACTACAGCTGAACTCATGGCCATCGAAATTGCTACTACTCATCTCTAATTTGCATATTATTACCGAGAAAGAGTTTGGCAATACAACATCACTGATTTATATGCAAATTAGCATTTTTCGAGTATTACGTCACATACGCTTTTACTTGTTGTTTTGAATTTGTAATGACGACAAAAAAAATACGAATCAACATAATCTCATCATAACAATATTAACTCAAAGCTATGGTATAAACATTGACAGATTTGTAATAAGAAGCTATCTTGAAGCTTCAGAGGAGGGAAATAAAATATTGAATATTACGGAAAAATGGACTCGACAAAAGACTTAAAAGCAAATGCGTAAGCTAAAGGGTCAGATAAAACCAATCTAATTAGCCGAAGAAATTATTTATCACCACAAAAACGTATTAGTTTTTCGTTCGGGTGCCCATCAATGCGCGTGTGTATACAATGAGTAACACAGCTTGAGCTTTTTAGCTTTGTATTGTTATTTTTTATTTGATTGTTATTTAAAAAAGCGCCTAAATGTATACTATTATTTTAAACTGAGTTTCTATGCCATATGAATATCAAATACAAAGCTTATTACCATTCTATTTAAAATGTGCATATATTTGTCCATTGAATGGCATTAAAATGATATTTGTTGGCATAAATTGACATTCCAGATTGAAACGAAATATTGCCATTGGCAAGAAATATTGGTATCAATTTTTTATTATCAAGCATTATCGGCCTGACGTTCAAAGTGAGTTTTCATGCTTGTTTCTGACATAACCGGCAAAATAATTAATTCGGTTTTTCTTCTCTTTGTATGTCTTCGATTTTTTATTTCGAAAACGGTGCACAAATTTTGTAAATAATTTTTTTTTTTTCAGAAAAATATCACACACTCTATGGAAATCTCAAAGTTTTTGCGCAGCTTGATACATTTACGGTTTCTATTCAATTTTATGTTACGCTAAATTAACTTTATGGACTCATTCACAATCGAACCCAATAAATCCTCGTAGCTATTGAAATTCTCAAACAAATCGATCAATGCCTTTGTTGTTAATTTTTCTTGATATTTATTTTATTCATTTATTTTGGTGGCAATTTGTACGCAAATTGAATAAATAATATATTCTGACGAATGTTTGCGGTCAGCATTGCTTAATGTTTTTGTATGATAAAAAATTGCTTTAGGAAAATGTGAAATACATTTGCTTTGTGGGAAAATTTGAAATCGAAAACTGTCCAGGCCTGTTGTCTTCTCCAAACCGGTTTTCTTCGATCATTGTCGAAACATCGATACTTCAACAAAAGTCAAATTTAACGAACGAGTTATTAGATACTCAGGCAAACAAAAAAACAAAAAATTTGTCAGTTGTACAGTGAAATACATTATAACGATTTAGTATTTTCTTATAAGGTATTTTCTTGTTTTACTATTTCCGTATTTTTCTTGTATTTAAATTGTTGAAATTGTCATTAAATTTTTAGTCTTCGGACAACATTAACATAATAATTAAATTGAACATTTTTTCTTCTCCAAGTAATATTTTTGTATAACAAACTTTTGGCAGCTACCTAGCTGAAAAATTTAGAGTTGGGAATGCGAAGGGATAATAGTAAAATGTTACCCATCAAACGGGGGTAAGTACTTAAGTACTCAGACATAAATTCGTCGTTATACTAGACAAGAATTCACATAAACAATGAAACTTTGTCTAGCGTAACCACGAATTAATGTCTGAGTATTTATGTACTCGATTAAAATAAATATCAACAATTGAATTTTTTTAAATATTAGCAATTATTCATCAAGATCTAATTACGGAAAATGGGATTCGAACATTTTGTAAAACATGTGTTTGTGTTTGACCTTTGTGTAAAGATGCCAAATAATCAACAAAAAGCTCCGTCTTTTCAAAAGCCAAAACCATGTTCACCAATTTCACCCCCAATAGAAAACAACTATTATTGTAAATTTTTCTGTGTGTACCAAACAAAAATTGTATAATCTGGGATGTGACCCTATACATTGTATATTTATTGCCATACATCACGATGCCATTTGTAGACGAATTACAAAAGACACATTTAGTCTCTTGATATTCAAATGCCAAAGATATAACACAAAATTATGACATAGATGTGTTTTTCTATAAGTGTCTAAAGTGTTACCGCCGAGCTATTTATACGTTATTCTAATTTAAACGCACAAAAAGTGTTTACAATACCAACTTTACGTGAATTGTATGGCATGCTCGAGTTATGGTGTGTACACATTGTTACAAAATAAAATTTGCCGGAAAACCATATATTCCATATCGTTACAGAGGCAATGAAGTTTTCATATTGAAATAATTGACATTTTGGAGATTGAAAAGACATGATAATGAAGCAGAAAGACATGACAATGAAGCAGAAAGACATGACAATGA